CTCTGGCCCCTTATTTAATCAGGTTGTTTTCTTGCTGTTGAATTTTTAGAGTTCCTGTATTCTGGATATAAGTTCTTTGTTAAAAAGACTATCTTTCTTCCATTAAATTGACTTTGTACCTTTGTGAAAAACCAGGTGGCCATATTGTGTGCTTATTACCCATCCTGAATGTCTACTTTTTCATTGTAGCCCTTAATTATCATAGTTATTTTAAATTCCCTATTTGATAATTCCAAACTCTATCATATCTGAGTGAGGTTCTGCTGCTTGCTTTGTCTCTTCGGACTGTATTTTTTTCCTTGCCTTTAAGCATGCATTGTAATTTTTTGTTGAATACCAGACACAATGGATCAAGCAATAGGAACTGGGGTGACCAGGCTTTTAGTATGAAGTTTCACGGTAATCTGACCAGGAGTTGGCCTGTGGTTATTGTTCGCTGTAGCTAGAGGCTCCTTCTAGTTTCCTGGTTTTTTGATGCTTCCCTGCTGTCTTGGGGTTTTCTAAGGGCTCCTTAAATAGGGTCTGTGTCCTGCAGCTAGCTCTCTCAGTTGGAATCCCCGGTTGAGATATTACTGGAGCCCTTTCGATGTGCTGGTAAGGTGTGGGGGAAGGGAGGTGTTCTCTGATCATGTAATTTGCAATTTTTAGTAGGCCTGAGTCCTTGTGCTGTGACCTTCAAAAGCAGTTTTTAGCTCCCCCCTTTTTTAAATCCTCTTACAAGAGACAGGAAGGCTCAAGGGGGCTGGAGTTGGCTAAATGCCATTCCTCTAAATAAGATAAGGCTCTGGTAGTATCCCTTACAGGGTGGGCCTTTGTTATGGCAACCAAACTGGGTGTTTTTCTAGAAATGCTTAATTTTCCCCTTTCCCGCCTGAAACCATGGTGGGGCTCCTGGAGATAAAACCCATGCAAGTGTGGGGCCCTTCTAACGCTGTCCCTCAGAAGGACTGAAACTATAAGGTCTGTTGATTAATTTTTAAGCGTGGAGATTTTCCAATTATCTTTCTCTTATTTCTGATTTCCACTGTGGTCATAGAACATATTTTGAATAATTTCAATTTTTTAAAAATTTATCAAGGTTTGTTTTATGACCCTGGATATATTCTATTTTGGTGAATGTTCCTCAGGAGGGATGTGGTAGGTGAGATATTCTGCAAATGTCAATCAAGTTAGTTGATTAATGGTGTTTTTCAGTTCTGTGTCCTTGCTGATTGTTTTTTTGTTCTTTCGAATACTGAGAGAGGAGTTTTGAACTCTCCGCCTATAATGGTGGATTTGTCCATTTGTCCTTTCAGTTGTATCACGTTTTGCTGCAGGCATTTTGAAGCTCTGTTGTTAGGTAGCACACATTTAGAAAGCCAGTGTTATCTTGTTGACCTTTTTATCACGTGCAAGGACAGTGAAAGGTCTGGGGTTTGTTCCCTCTGTTTTTCATTTCATTACCCTTTTCCTGACTTGTTTTGGATGAGTTGAATATTTTTTAGTATTCCATTTTAATTTTCTACTGAGTTTTTCATTATATTTCTTCGTATATTTTTTTGTGGTTGCCCTAGGGATTATAAAGTACATATTTAATTTAATATTTCACAGTCTAATTAGAACAAATAACTTATCACTTCAAGGGGACTGTAGAAACATGACCACCATAAGATCCCTTTACCCTTCTTTCTTTCTGTTGGAATATCTATTTGTTTAGGTCTAATTTAATTTCTCAGAAATGTTTTGCAGTTATCAGTATAGAGACTGAGTACTTTTTTTGGTTAGATTTAGCCCTACCTAGGTAGTTATATTTTTGATGCTATTATAAATGGTAATTACATTTTTTCATTTTCAAATTTTTGTTGATATATGGAAATATGATTGATTTGTGTATCTTGACCTTAAAGGCAGTGACTTTGATAAATTTATTTACTAATTCTAATACTTTTAAAAATGTTTTATGTTTATAATTATGTCATTTATAAATATAGTTTTGTT